TATCAGTTGTCCTTTGACTTTGTTGTTTTGCCAATCTAGCAATTTTTCTTTTAGTTTTTTAATTCAGTCTTGCTTTATTCACAACAGCAAATAAACAGAAACAGCTGAAGTGCCCATCAACAGATGAATGGACAACAGTGGTATATACATATATAACCGAGAACCACGCAGCCATAACCACAAGTCAAGGAACTATAACACGGATGGACACGGAGGGCCTAAACTAAGTGAAATATGTTAAGCATGCAAACCCAAAATCCACTGCCATCGAGGCAAGTCTGACTCATAGTGACCCTACAGAATAGAGTAAAACTGTTCCATATGGGTTCCAAAGCTTTACGGAAGCAGACTGCCTCATCTTTCTCCTGCAGAGCAGCTGGTGGGCTTGAATTACCAACTCTTTGGTTAGCAGCCAAATGCCTTTAAGTATCACACCACCACAAAAAAAACCAAACCAAACTCACTGCCGTTGAGTCGGATCCGACTCACAGCGACTCCTCTTTGGGTTTCCGAGGCGGTATCTCTACAGAAGTAAATTGCCAATCTTCCTTCCAAGGAGTGGCTGGTGGGTTTGAACTGCCAGCCTTCTGGTTAGCAGTCCAACACCTTAGGCACTACGCCACCAGAGCTCCTATTACGGCACCACAGCTCCTTAAGTCAAGCATATAAGGAGAAATAGTATATGATCCCTCTTTTACAAGACAAGAATAGATGTTTATCAAGACCAATGTTCATAGGTGGACACCAAGGAGAGGAGGAGGAGGGGAAGTACACTTCAGGTCACAGAGACTGTTAGTCTGGTGATGGGAATAGTGGCATCAAATCTGGTTGTAGTGAGCACAGTACAACCAAAGTAAAAACGAGTGCTTCAGCGCTTATGCACAGGTACAGGCATCTTGGCATATGGGTAGGTACTGTGCCCAACAGGTATACTTCTGCTTGACAGCCCTCCAAGTTCTTTAATACATCTCCTTTTCTCTTTCCTAAGTTAGAGACACTCAGTCACCTAGCCTCCAAGGGCGTATCTTCACTTTGTGTGACTAGTGTGTGATATCCAGGAACGCATTCCTGATTTTCTGTACTCTTCTCATATACAACACTGAGAAGAGACTGCAGTCCTCCAGCTGTAGGCTAACCAACATAAAAGAGAGCTCAAACATCACCTCTCGGGCTAGAGGGAACTTTTCTGTTAGTGCATATAAAAATATATTTGGTTCTCAGCAGCCATACCAAAGTCAATTATCAAATAAAATCTGTAGGTCTTCTGTTTCCCTGTAAGTACTTCTGCCTTTTTTTACCCCCTATATGATAAAGTTACTTTGTGAAACCAAGTACAAAATCGTGTATTTATTAAACATCAAAAGAGTATTTACCTCTAGTGGAATGGGATGGGAGAAAGGAGATGGTTTTTGAAAAAACAAGATAAGGAGATAATAATCTTCCTGTTTTTAGGCTGAGTGATATATATGTATGTTCACTATACTTTGTATTATGCATAGTTTTAGTTTATACCAAATGTTACCTTTGAGCTCTGGTAGCATAGTGCCTAAGGCACTTGACTGCTCACCAGAAGGCTGATGGTTCAAACCCACCAGCCACTCCTCGGAAGGAAGGTTGGGCAATCCTACTTCCGTAGTGATACTGCCTCGGAAACCCAAGGAGGGATCGCTATGAGTCGGGGCGTTACCTTAAGATATTTTTCATCTTAGCAGGGAGTGTACCCAAGACCATGTATAGGGTTGGGAGACAGTGGTCCTGTAAGTGTATTTGTATGATCTGAATTCCCAGACATATAGTAATATTGACAAGGGGCAAGGTTGTAGTCACTGCTTGGTCACAGCCAGCTACTCAGAGGGACCAAGCAGTTGAACCTGTGGGCTCAGGACCATAATCGCAGGGGATATTAAGCTCAAATGGCATAACATACTATACAAAACATTGTTCTACCCCCTACTTTGGCAAGTAGTGACTGGGATCTTAAAAGCTTGCAAGCAGCCATCTAGATGCAACAATGGGTCTCTCCTCATCCAGAGCAAAGAAGAATAAAGAAAACCAAAGATTCACGGAAACTATTAGTCCTTGTGACTGGCATGCGATCGATCTCAGTCTATAGGACTATGAGACCAGAAGAACTAGATGGTACCTGGCTACCACTGTCAACCACTGGAAGGGGGATCTATGTAGGAAATCCTGGATAGAGAGAGAGAACAATTTGGAACAAAACTCAAAATCATTGGGGGGGGGGGGAACCAGGTTTGCTGGTCTGATAGAGCCTGGGGGAACCACTGAGACTATGGCCCCTAGCTGCCCTTCAGGTCTGGAATTGAACCCACACCTGTGGCTTCTAGCCAAACAAAAGACAGGCAGATGAGCGGAAGCTTTACCTGAGGTAAATACACTCCTTGGAGAGAACAATCATGGGAGAAAGAAGGGCTGTTTATGTACAGGGAGACAGCTCAGGAGGCAAGAGTGCATGGAAGGATAGACGCAGGAAAAAGGTAACTATCAGGAGGAAGTGGGAGGGGAGCTGTTGCATTGTGGTAAATTGCAGTCAATGTCATGAGACAAAGTATATGTTAAATGCTATCTGGAAAGTGAATTTGCTCTGTAAATTTTCATCCTAATCACAATAATAAATAAAGTAATTTTAAAAAATAAATTTTTCATCTTCTTAGACTCAGCTCACAAGAACTCGGCTCAAGTCAAGAACTTTGAGATCCCAAATCTGTTATTTTATATATTTATTTATACTCTCAAGGGTAGATCACCACAATGCAGGATCTAATAAGAGATCATGCTCTACTGTTAACTGTAGATGCTTTATCCATTCCTAATTAGAGTCAAGGTACAAAGTAATAACAATCAACTACCCTGTAGCCTGTGTTAGGAAATGACACATTTATCAGGAGAGGCATGGCACCTACCCCAGGAAACCCAGAGAACATGAATATATTGGTGGGCCTGAGCCGGGATTGGCAAACAATACGCCAAGGGGTCAGCCACCTGTGCTATAAACAAAGTTTTACTGGAACATGCCAAGTTATTCATTTGCATGGTGGCTTCAGCTGCTTTCCTGTTACAACAGCAGAGCTGAGTACAGGCAGTCCTCAGATTACGAACATCCAACATACAAATAAACATCCAACATGTGAACCATAGTCTATGAATCAACCTCTGTAAAGCCTATTGTGTTAAAACTTTAAAGCACACAGAATGATTCATAACACTTTACGCCTGGGGCAATCATTATTATTGCTGTATTATTATGTTAAAAATGGTTTTAGTGTATCTGGAAGTGTTTCTTTAATGTTTTTAATGTATAACGAAAGGAGCTCTGGTAAGGCCTTTGACTGTTGTTGTTGTTGTTGTTGTTGTTATGTGCCGTCGAGTCGGCCCCGACTCATAGCGACCCCTCCTTGGGTTTCCGAGGCAGTATCACTACGGAAGTAGATTGCCCCATCTTCCTTCCGAGGAGTGGCTGGTGGGTTTGAACCGCCAGCCTTCTGGTTAACAGTCAAGTGCCTTAGCCACTATGCTACCAGAGCTCCCAGGCCTTTGATTACTACTCAGATATTGTTGGTTCAAATCCACATGAGAAGATGGGGCAATCTATATCTGTAAAGATTTACCACCTTGGGAACCCAGTGGGGGTCGCTAAGAGTTGGAATTGACTTGATGGCAGTGGGTTTGGTTTAATTTTTTTAAAATGCATAGAAAAGTATACTTCATAGTAAGACAAACATTAGACTAACTGACATTAGATATGAACTGTACCTGTTTCAACTTATGCACAAACTGGACTTAAAGACAGATCTAGGAATGGAATGTATTTGTAATCTGGGGACTGCCAGTAGTTCCAACAGAGACCAGAAGGCCCACAAAGCCTCAAGTATTTATATGGCCATTTTTGGAAAAAGTTTGCTGATTAAACTAAACAACAGCTTAGCTGAATGAGTGAAGAATGTTTCCTTTGTTCACTGCACTCTTAAAAGAATTATCTATATGAGATCAAATAAAAAAAAGTAATGCTACAGCACAGATGAAAAGTTTAAGGGCCAATGAGTCTGAGTCAATGGTGTGAAATAATATGGGGGGAGAACAAGAATGGTGAAGAATGTCACCAATGGCAGCGAACTGTACGTGCAACACTGTGGAACGGGTGTGTGACCTGCTGTGCATATTTTCATCAGGGAAAAAAGTGTGGTGACCCTCGATCCAGGGCACCACTCAGGGGAGAGAATGTTCTCTTGTTCATTGAGCAGGTATATTATTTTAGGGATTTGGGTCTATCGGGCTATCATAACTCACTAACCATTAGTCTCACTCAACTAACCCCTTTTACCCTAACTTCAGGCTCACTGAGAAAAATTAAATATTTCAAGGACAGGTATCTACAGGGAGAAGACATGTTGACCAGCACATGGGACCATTTCTACCAAATACTATTCCATTTTTCATTATGTATTAACGCAAGCGGCTTTCTGATTTATACTTCAGTCTCTCATGGCGTGGGTTAGCATGAGTCAGTCCTTGAGAAACTATCACATCTACTACACTGAAAACTTTCTGGAGTGGCAAAGCTAAGGACCAGCTCCTAAAATATGGTGATCCCTCCAGGGCATCCACCCTCTGAAGGTCTCCCTCAAAGACATCTTGGAGACATCTCGCTCCACCCTAATTATGATACTCCCAAAACTAAGGGATGATCTTAACATATGATGCTAAACTACCACAGGGCTATTGCAAAGAGACTCAATATTCCATGTACTGTAGCTGCTTCTGAGAAGTGACAGTTTCTCATTAGACCAACACTTCCTCTCTTCAAGAGTCTAACATGACACAAATGTTTAAAAGATCAAGTTAGCATCAAAATTGATTTGGGAAATATTTCCAGAATAAATCCTAAGCTCCCTGCCAGCATCTGTATCTTACAACGTGAGGCATTGCTTTGGAAAGCTCATTCACACTCAATGCATCTGAATCAAGGTCTCACTTCTTACCTGATGTGGGCTGATCTTTTCTCCCGCAGCTGTGGAATGTTGACTCAGATCTTCCTCACAGGAGTCCCTTACAATTTCTTCCTGGTTCCCTTGATCTCCGAAGACCTTTAGCTCCAAGCTCTTGGTTTTCTCTTCCCTATCCATGATCCCAGAAGCCATAGGACCTCCTGCTGTGGACTCCACCAGCCCACACCGCCCAGGCTCACCCCCATCATCCAACGTCTCAGAGTTTTCTTCACAACAACTTTCCACATGAGTCCTCTGCTGTTCCACGGGCAGGGTCCTATTCTGACTTAGGAGAGCCCTGGAGGCTCCGGGTTTTACATCTGGAATCCCACTTGGCTCAGGGTCAGCAAGAAGCTCTTTGGAGACACTCACTGGGAGTTCAGAGAATAATTCCTGTACCACGGCAGACATGGAGGAATCAAGTGGAACTGGCTGAGTCTCCACTCCGGATGACAGCATTAGGGCAGACGCAGATTATGGAGTCAAGTCTTTTACGTCAAACGATTCACCCTGACACAAATCAAAGGAAGGGATAAAAGTTTAAAACCTTGACAGGGTAGAAGAAAGCTCTCTAAGCTCTAACTGACTAAAATAAGGAAAACTATACCTCAAACGCCAGCATTACCTAGTAGCGAAAACTTCTCCTTAATGGATGGTGAACTTGTGGAAAAATAAATACTTTTAATAGATATCTGTCTGATTTCAAATACCGCTTTATAAACAATTCTCCATGTAAAACTAAAGGGCCAGCAAATGTAGATGCAAGTAAGATAGACCTGACATAAAACAAAGATGATTTTTCTATTTGTTTTCAGGGCATGAATTTACCTGTTTTGTTCACTGCTGTATCTACAATGACTGGACGTAGCCATTGTAGGCATGTACCTGACATATAGTACACACAGTAAACACCTGAATGAACACACACTAAGGAACTCTGAAGAATACGTCACACTGACTTTTCCTTGGGAAGTATTATCTCTCTGAAGGAAGTTGTGATGAAAATATATCTCCATTCCTTTACTGTTTACCAAACACTTGAGCTATAGCTTCTCAGTCTAGCACAAGACATTACCACACCAGCTCTTCAGAGCAATCATTCATCTAACATCTTGAGATTTTCCAAGGGCTTTCACACACACCTCTCACTTGATGCTCACAACAACCTTGTGAACTAAGTAGGGCAGCTATCACCCTCCCATTACAGATGCTAACACCACATCACAGGAGGTTAAAAGGGACTTGCCTAAAACATTACATGGTCATCTGAGAGAAAGGTGGGGGATAGAAAAAGCTTCCACTGTGTTGGTAATGTTTCACGGCTTGCGTTAGGTGGTGGCAACACAGGTTATTTGCTGAAATATTTATATCTAAGTAATGCATAGTACTACAGTAGTTAAGGAGTCAAGAATAGTACTCCCCAGACCAGTACCTCGTCCGTTTCAGTCTACCAAATGTGTGCAGTTTCTAGAACAAAATCCACTGGAACTTGTCAGAGACAGAAACTGAGACAACAGAAGATTCTGCTTTGCTTTCATTCTTGATGGTTTCCCTAAGCATAAGGTGAAAGAGGATGAAAACTATTTGGCAACTGCATTCAAAATGAGGATTTATTGGAGGTATTGATTTCAAATCCCTTTGGTCAGAACGCACACAGAAACAAATTTTTAAGAGAGTCAGGCAGTGTCTATTCTGTTGTTGTTGTTGTTGTTATGTGCTGTTGAGTCGGATCCAACTCATACCGACCCCTCCTTGGGTTGCCAAGGCAGTGTCTATTCTGACCACTTCTAATGTCCATTTTTCTCCAAGAAAATGAACACGTCATACACAATTCATCTCTGGGTACCAAATTATTTGAACTGTTGAGATGTTTCACCTTCTTACCACTGACTACATTCAGATTTCCAAGAGAAAGAGGAGGAGGAGCCTCTAACACACCATATAAATCTTCACGACTTCTCAGTCTTAATTTATATTCCTCCCCCCGATTATATGGGGGAGCCCACAGTCACTTATGCAAAAGGCACACGCTCTGCTCCCAAGTCAGGAAGCATACTATTCCTTGAATACTCCTGGGTTTATCATTTTCCTCCTTGCATAGAAGATTCCCACCCACCCCCACTGTGCTATCTCCACCAAAGCTGGGGGCTGAGGAAGAAGATGATGAAAGGTTCTTTCATTGTGGACTGTTCTTTCTCCTGGTTTAACAATCTGTGAGGAACCTTCCGTCATGTTCCTATACTATCATGCACCGCGCATCCTGGATGCTTTTAAGAACTCTTCCCCAAAAGACTGTGCAGTTACCCTGGAACTTAAATACTAGAAATTATAGGAAATCCAACGGCTGTTCTATAAAACTTAACAAAAAAAAAAAAATTAACTCCTGTCAAGTCAGACCCAACTCACAGTGACTCCTCCTTGGGTTTCCAAGGCAGTATCACTAC